TCAGCAATGTCATCGACTGTGAGGCCTGGGTGATGTTAGCATGACGGAGTTCGGTTGGATGATGTGCGTATTGGCGACGCGCACCTCGGCTTAGGCAAAGAGCCTTGGCTCGTTCATAGTGCAGCGGTATGTTTGTAATCGATGGCTCGTGGCGGCTGTCCCTTCTCGCATCCCAGACTTCGTCGACCAAAAGCGACGTGTCGAAGTCCATGGCGAAGGAGCTGATATCCGAGACGACGTTGGAGGAGAAGGTGTAACGTAGCTGGGGGCTAGCCCAATAGCAAGGACACGTGCGAAGGGAAACCTGGAGAGACAACTTGATCCTGAGTTCGGCAGTGGTGATGTCAGGGGGTTTTGTGTCTCGAGAAATCAACCCGCCTTTTGTATCAGTCATCCGCTGTGCCGCCCCGTCCATAGTTATAGTCTTGTTATTCGGGCGAGAAGGATACACGTCACAAAAGGCTCCTTATCACGTGGGTTTGTGGACTCAACTTCAGCCTGCCAGCTTGCCTCCCCACGTCCGAATCGAAGCAGCAGCTATACTGGACGCAGAGCAACTATCGGCTTTATGTCTAAGCACGGTTGAAAAGTGACCTTAGGATCCTGTTTCTGTTTTGTCTTGATTCACCCATAGTCACAGCTCACCTCTGCCGTGCGATATATATCACATACATACTTCAGAACTGGTCTGACAGCCATGAGAGATAGCGTGAACCGCGGTGCATACATCCTCTCCATTCTTCTCCTATACCTTGATTGCGGCTTGTTTACCCCAGTACCCCAGCCTGCAACGCTAACCATGAGCATCACGAGATCCGTTGAATACTGTCACAGACTTCGACAGCTGGCCGCGGATCAGCTGCGAGCCGTCACAGAGTATACTATTCGAGGTCATATGGGCCCCGAGCAGGAACTCGCCTTGCAGTTAGAAATCCTCAGAATAGCCGCGAGCATACAGCGAATGATGCCGCCATTGGTCGATTAGGAGGGAGAGGGCCGCATTATTGCCGATCAAGCTGTGTCTTCCCTGTTGCAGGCGTCTGATGATAGAGCCTCAATACGCGGCAGTTACGGGGAGAGAGTATAGCGGCGGCAAGCTCCACGTACCTG